CCTCTGGGGGTCCGGTCATTGCTACCTCCTCTACTGTTCTCCCTTGTCCTGCGGTCCCGTCGGGCACTCTGTCGGGTCTCTACCTCCCCTCGTTCTCTACGAACTTGGTGGCGGGTAGTGCGCTCCAGGACGGGGGTGTCCACCAGTTTACCCCTGCCTACGAGCGTGTGACACACTGCACGTGCGCTCGGACGGGCCGCCACCTGGCTACCTTCACTCGGCAGCCGGGGTCGGACCTGTACACACTGACCACTGAGTCCCCACAGGTAGCTGCGTCTGCGTCTGCATCAGGTCAGCTGTCTGCCCCCTGCTCGTGTCGCTCTCTGGCACACGAGACTGTCCTCTGGCACCACCGTCTTGGTCACCCGTCAGTGCAGCGCCTTCGTGCCATGCACAACCGGTACCTTGTCTCTGGTCTTCCCAGGGTTCTCCCTCCACTCCCACCCTCGCCTGCTCCTCCCTGCCTTCCCTGTGTCGAGGGGCGGCAGCACGCCGCTCCTCACTCCTCCTCGTTTCCCCCGACGACTGCTCCCTTGCAGACGCTCCACATGGACGTGTGGGGCCCAGCCCGCGTCCGTGGACAGGGTCAGGAGAGGTACTTCCTGATCGTTGTTGACGACTACTCGCGCTACACCACGGTCTTCCCCTTGCGCACCAAGGGTGAGGTCCCTGATGTTTTGATCCCTTGGATCCGCGCTTCTCGTCTCCAGCTCAGTGAGCGGTTCCACTCGGACTTTCCTGTCCTGCGTCTGCACTCTGACAGAGGTGGTGAGTTCTCCTCTGACCTCTTGGCAGCCTACTGTGCGGAGCACGGCATCCGCCAGTCGTTCACGCTTCCGGCCTCTCCACAGCAGAATGGGGTTGCTGAGCGCCGCATTGGTTTGGTCATGGAGGTCGCTCGTACCTCCTTGATCCATGCGGCTGCCCCCCACTTTCTGTGGCCGTTTGCGGTCCGATACGCTGCGCATCAGCTCAACCTCTGGCCCCGTGTCTCCGTTCCGGAGACTTCGCCGACACTGCGTTGGACGGGAGAGGTTGGCGATGCGTCGCGTTTTCGGGTCTGGGGATCCCGAGCTTTTGTTCGCGATACGTTCGCGGACAAGCTCTCCTCCCGCGCTGTTCCCTGTGTCTTCCTTGGCTTTGTCCCGGACGCGTCCGGTTGGCAGTTTTACCACGCCACCTCGCGCCGTGTCCTGCCCTCTCAGGACGTCAGTTTTGACGAGTCCGTGCCCTACTACCGCCTCTTCCCCTACCGCACTGCCCCGCTCCCCCCCCCGCCTCTCTTCCTCGCGCCAGGTGCTGCTGTGGTAGACCCCCTCCCCCCTCAGGGTGCCGCTCCCTCAGGTGTGTCCCAGGTAGACCCGGTTGAGCCTGTCGAGGTAGCTGTCGACTCTCGTCCTGCCAGGGGTGCTGAGCCTGAGCGTGCGGAGCCTGGGGTTGCGGAGTCTGGGGGTGCTGAGCCTGGGGGTGCGGGGTCTGGGGGTGCGGAGCCTGCGGGTGCTGAGTCTGGGGGTGCTGAGCCTGGGGGTGCGGAGCCTGCGGGTGCTGAGTCTGGAGGTGCTGAGCCTGGGGGTGCTGAGCCTAGGAGTGCTACGTTTGAGAGTACTGAGCCTGAGCGTGCTGCACCTGGGGGAGGCCTCTCCTCGCAGCAGCTGCGTGAGTGGTACTTACAGTACTGCAGCCTCAGGAGAGGTGCTTCTGGAGCTCGGAGTGGTGCCGGAGCTGGTGCTTGTGCTTCCCCTCCTAGGCGGGAGCTGCCCTCTCCCCAGCAGCTCCGAGAGTGGTACGCTAGGCGCTGCAGTCTCCGGAGTGGCGCTCCTGGTGTCGTGGACTCTGGAGCTTCTGGAGTTACTGGAGGTGCTGCTGCTGCTGGCGGTGCGGCTGGCGCTGCTGGAGGTGCTGCTGGTGCTGCTGGAGCTGCTGGAGGTACTGCTGCTGCTGGAGGTGCTGCTGGCGCTGCTGGAGGTACTACTGGTTCTGGTGCTGCTGGAGCTGCTGGAGGTGCTGCTGCTGCTGGCGGTGCGGCTGGCGCTGCTGGAGGTGCTGCTGGTGCTGCTGGCGCTGCTGGAGGTGCTACTGGTGCTGGAGCTACTGGAGCTGCTGGTGGTACTGCTGCTGCTGGCGGTGCTGCTGGCGCTGCTGGAGGTGCTGCTGGTACTGGTGCTGCTGGAGCTGCTGGAGGTGCTGCTGCTGCTGGTGGTGCTGCTGGCACTGCTGGAGGTGCTGCTGGTACTGGAGCTGCTGGGGACCCTGCTGCTGCTGGCGGTGCTGCTGGAGCTGCTGGGACTGGCCCTGCTGAGGGGGTTGGAGCTGGAGGTGCTGAGCGGCCACGACCGTACTACGTTCCGCTCCTTCAGCAGGTTCTTGGCCTTCCGCCCTCTCCTGGTCCTACTCCTCCCCTACTGAGTCCACCGCTTGTCCAGTCGCAGTCACAGTTACAGCCAGTCTCTCCACTTCCTGGTCCTTCTCCCTACACTGCGCCGACGGGAGGTCTTACGGAGCGTCGTGAGCCTGAGTCTCGTCCTCCGTCGCCTGAGACTCGTCCAGAGTCGTCTGAGTCGCGTCCAGAGTCGCCTGTCCGCGCTGTCCGCGCTGGTCGTCGTGTTCCACGTCAGCGTCCTCCTCCTGTCCTTGGCACTCACTATATGACCCTGCGTCCCTCTACTGCTCCACAGCGTGTCCCACTGCCGTCTCCACCAGCGTCCTCTCTTCCTGCTCTTGCTGACCCGGAGTCTGACTCTCTTCGTGCTGCCAGTCCTACTGTCCCGCGTCTCCTTGCCACTGCTGTCACTGACCCTTCCTTTGAGTCCTCTGCTGCGTCTTCTCTAGTCGCTGAGCTTGTTGACTTTGCTGCTGCCTGTCGTCTAGACTACGCCGCTAGCCTTGTTGCTGAGTCTGAGTCTGAGTCTGTCTGTCCTCCGTCTGTCGGGGGTGAGTGTGCTCTTGGCACGGACGTCCTTGAGGACAGACAGGAGGAGTTTGAGTGCTTTGCCGCTGCTTTGCCTCATCTCGTGTCCATGCTAGTTGCCCCTGAGGGAGACCCGGATGCACCAGACATCCCGACCCCACGCTCCTACGCAGAGGCGATGGAGGGTCCCTACTCCTCTCAGTGGCAGACAGCCATGGACGCAGAGATGGCTTCCTGGAAGTCCACAGGCACCTACGTCGACGAGGTTCCCCCACCTGGGGCGAACATCGTCAGTGGCATGTGGATTTTCAAGGTGAAGCGGCCGCCGGGTTCTCCGCCTGTCTTCAAGGCGCGTTACGTTGCACGAGGCTTCAGTCAGCGAGAGGGAGTTGACTTCTTCCAGACCTTCTCCCCGACCCCGAAGATGACCACTCTTCGGGTTCTGCTGCACGTCGCTGCTCAGCGTGACTACGAGCTCCACTCTCTTGACTTCAGCACTGCGTTCTTACAGGGCAGCCTGCACGAGGAGATCTGGCTGCGCCGCCCACCTGGCTTCACTGGGTCGTTCCCTCCTGGTACCCAGTGGAGCCTCCGGCGGCCAGTCTACGGTCTCCGCCAGGCACCCCGTGAGTGGCACGACACACTGAGGACTACTCTTGCTGCTCTTGGGTTTGCTCCTTCTACTGCTGACCCGTCGCTGTTTCTACGCACCGACACCACTCTGCCGCCGTTCTACGTTCTTGTTTACGTAGACGACTTGGTCTTTGCTACTGCTGACACTGAGGCACTCGCCCACGTGAAGTCGGAGCTGCAGAAGAGACACACGTGCACAGACCTGGGTGAGCTGACAAGCTATCTTGGCTTGCGGATCACCCGGGACAGAGCACAGCGCACCATCACCTTGACTCAGTCACACATGGTGCAGCAGGTCCTTCAGCGCTTCCGCTTCACGTACTCCTCGCCTCAGCCCACTCCTCTGCCTACCGGTCACTCGCTCTCAGCTCTGCCTTCGGATGAGTCCGTAGAGCCGAGTGGCCCGTATCCAGAGCTTGTGGGCTGCCTCATGTACCTGATGACCTGCACTCGACCTGACCTGGCATACCCTCTTAGCATCCTAGCACGCTATGTTGCTCCCGGCCGTCACCGGAAGGAGCACATGGATGCCGCTAAGAGGGTGTTGCACTACTTGTGCAGTACGTCGGGCATGGGGCTCGTGCTTGGAGGTCGGAGCGACGTTGTCCTCACGGGTCACTCAGACGCTTCTTGGGCTGACAACCAGGCTACGCAGCGGTCGTCTCAGGGTTACACCTTCAGCCTTGGCTCTGGTTCAGTTTCTTGGCGTTCTACTCGCTCTTCTTCTGTTCTCAGCTCCAGTTGTGAGGCTGAGATCTACGCCACAGCCATGGCTGCACAGGAGTTACGCTGGCTCACCTACCTGCTGACCGACCTGGGAGAGCGGCCTCGTTCTCCTCCAGTGCTGTACGTTGACAACAAGGCCGCCATTGCCTTGTGTGAGGAGCACAGACTAGAGCACAGGACGAAGCACATCACTCTGCGCTACTTCCTTGCTCGAGAGCTGCAGCAGCGTGGTCAGCTTCGTCTGCGTTACGTGGCCACTCGGGCCAACACTGCTGATGTGTTCACCAAGGCGCTTCAGCCTTGTGACCATCAGCGTTTCTGTACTGTTCTAGGCCTTGTGCCTACTCTCCCTCACTTGCTCACTTCTTGACTCTGCTTGTACTGTGATCTCTCTATATATATACCTGCATGTTTACTCTTGTTAGGTTGTGATCACTGTACCTCTTGTTATATTATCAAACTGCATGTGAACTGGTCTTGTGACCACTTGCTTGTGCTCGGAATTTGTGTGGTTTCCTTGAGATCCACCCTGAGCTTGCTTTGCTTTGCTTTGACTGGTCTTGTGACCATCTGGTTGTCTCCCACTTAGCCTATGGGGGTGTGTCAAACATTATACATGTTCATATTGTGTAGGCTATAGTGGGTTTAGCCTTAGGGGGTACAACATTGCTAGGGTTTCCTACTTGTATCACCCTGCTGCCTAGTTTCACACATTCTCGTTCAGTTCTACATTCTAACAAGCACCAGAACCTCCAGCAGCTCCAGCAGCACCTCCAGCAGCTCCAGAACCTCCAGCAGCACCAACAGCACCTCCAGCAGCTCCAGGACCTCCAGCAGCTCCAGTACCTCCAGCAGCACCAGCAGCACCTCCAGCAGCACCAGCACCAGCAGCACCACCAGCAGCTCCAGAACCTCCAGCAGTAGTAGGGCCTCCAGCGGGCGGTACCTCAACACCAGGAGCTCCACTCTGGAGGCTGCAGCGCCGAGCGTACCACTCACGCAGCCGCTGAGGGGAGGGAGGCTCCGGCTGCGACACTGCACCCGCAGGGCCACCAGCCCCAACTCCAGCAGACCCCCCAGCTCCAGGAGCCCCACGACGGAGGCTGTAACGCTGGGAGTACCACTCACGCAGCTGCTGTGAAGAGGGAGCGCCAACAAGCGCAGTACGGTCAGCCTCAGAACCCCCAGCCTCAGCGCCTCTAGGCTCGACACCCCCAGTCGCAGCACCTCCAGGCTCAGCACCCGCAGTCTCCACACCTCCAGACTCAGCACCCCCAGTCTCCGCACCCCCAGGCTCAGCACCCCCAGTCTCAGTGCCCCCAGACCCAGCACCACCAGGCTCAGCACGCTCAGCACCTCGCGCAGGACCAGAGTCAACAGCTACCTCGACAGGCTCGACCGGGTCTACCTGGGAAACACCTGAGGGAGCAGCACCCTGGGGAGGGAGGGAGTCTACGGACGGGACACCTGGGGTGAGGAAGAGCGGCGGGGGGGGGAGCGGGGCAGTGCGGTAGGGGAAGAGACCGTAAAAGGGTACCGACTCGTCAAAGGTGACGTCCTGAGAGGCAAAGACACGGCGCGAGGTGGGGTGGTAAAACTGCCAGCCAGGCGCGTCAGGGACAAAGCCAAGGAAGACACAGGGAACGGCACGGGAGGAGAGCTTGTCCGCGGACGTATCGCGGACAAAGGCTCGACATCCCCAGACTCGGAACACCGACGCATCGCCAACCTCCCCCGTCCAACGCAGGGTAGGCGAGGTCTCCGGAACAGAGACACGGGGCCAGAGGTTGAGCTGATGCGCGGCGTACCGCACTGCAAACGGCCACAGGAAATGGGGGGCAGCCGCATGGATCATGGAGGTACGAGCGACCTCCATGACAAGACCAATGCGGCGCTCAGTAACCCCATTCTGCTGCGGAGAGGCCGGGAGAGTGAACGTCTGGCGGATGCCGTGCTCCGCAAAGTAGGCTGCCAAGAGGTCAGAGGAAAACTCGCCACCTCTGTCAGAGTGCAGACGTAGGACAGGAAAGTCCGACTGGAACCGCTCGCGGAGCTGGAGACGAGCAGCGCGGATCCAGGGGATCAAGACATCAGGGACCTCACCCTTGGTACGCAAGGGGAAGACCGTGGTGTAGCGCGTGTAGTCGTCGACGACCAGCAGAAAGTACCGCTCGTGGCCCTGTCCCCGGACGCGGGCGGGGCCCCACACGTCCAGGTAGAGAGTCTGCAGGGGAGCCTCTGTGGGAGGGAACGAGGAAGAGTGAGGAGCGGCGCGCTGCCGCCTCTCGACACAGGGAAGACAGGGAGGAGCAGGCGAGGGTGGCAGGGGAGGGAGAACCCTGGCGAGACCAGAGACAAGGTACCTGGAGTGCATGCCGCGAAGGCGCTGCACTGACGGGTGACCAAGGCGGTGGTGCCAGAGGACAGTCCTGTGTGACAGGGAGCGACACGAGCAGGGGGCCGACAGCTGACCTGACGCAGACGCAGACGCAGCTACCTGAGGGGACTCAGTGGTCAGTGTGTACAAGTCCGACCCCGGCTGCCGAGTGAAGGTAGCCAGGTGACGACCCGTCCGGGCGCACGTGCAGTGCGTCACACGCTCGTAGGCCGGGGTGAACTGGTGAACACCCGCGTCCTGGAGCGCGGAACCCGCCACCAAGTTCGTAGAGAACGAGGGGAGGTAGAGGCCCGACAGCGTGCCAGACGGGACAGCAGGACAAGGGAGGGCAGTGGTGGAGGTCGCAAGGACCGGACCCCCTGAGGGGTCGGCCAGGGAGACAGCAACCGGTCTAGGGAGCTGCTCCAGGGCAGTGCGGTCGCGGAAGAAACAGCGGGAAGCACCTGAGTCCAGTGTGAAGGTGTGCAGTGCCTCAGTAGGTGCGGTACCAGCAGACGTAGACGCACTAGCACCTAGGGCAGCAGCCTCACCAGGACCTAGAGCAGCAGACGCGCTAGCACCTAGAGCTGCAGCCTCACTGGTCCCAATACCCGGGTCGGGCGGTACACTCAGGTAACAGTCACCCTCAGCACTAATAGTCAATGCATACATAGCAGCAAGGATAGCATCATAATCAAGAGCAAAGATATCAATCCCCTTCCTAAGTAGATCAGCCCAGCGGGGCAGCTCAGAGGCGTCAGGGAACTGCTCGCGCCAGGCGTCGTCGAGGCGAAAGAAACAGCGCTGCGCCGTGTGAAACTTCCCACAAGTCTGGCCAGTGCGGTCACCTGTGCGGATGACGTACGGGCAGGTACCTCCACCCCCAGACCCCCCACGCTGAGAGTACCACTCACGGAGCTGCTGGGGCGAGGGAGTCTCGCCGGGACGCTGCTGCTGCTGCCTCTGGCCACCGCCGAACCCCCCACGCTGCACCGCTCCATCGCGCCCGCCACCCGCTCCACCGCCGCCACCACTGCCACCACCGCCCCCACCACCCCCACCACCGCCGCCGCCGCCACCACCCCCTGAGCCGCCACTGACCCCCCCACCACCCGCGCCACTCCCACTTCCGCCACCACCCCCGCCCCCCCCACCCCCTCCACCGCCGCCGCCCCCGCCTCCACCTCCACCACCCCTGCCCCCCTTGCCCCTGCCGCCCTTGCGCCTCCCACTAGGAGCAGACGCGGCCCCGACCCCCTCAGCTCCGAGGTAGTCGACAGCAGCAGCAGATGCAATGGAGGGGAGGAGGGGGGAGGGGGAGCACCCCTCAAAGAAGGGGGTGCGGGGGTCACCACGAGAGGCACCTACAGCTACAATGCTCTTCTCAGCTGCTAGGAGTTCCTTCTCGAGGAGGTCGACAGTGAGGTCAGTGGGGGAGAGGGCGAGAAACTGGTCCCTGACAGTGCGAAGGGAGTCAGGGAGGCGGGTGACAAGGTGGTACAGTGTGAGGTACATCGGGGGGGGGTTATTGGCGAGGAAATCGGGGGGGGGTGCGGCACGGTAGCAGAGATCACTAGTACGAAGGTGAGTGATGAGGTCAGCTACAGTGGCAAAGGCAGACAGATCGGGGAAGAGGTAGGGCAGTGAGAGACGGCCTATCGCAGCAGTGGCAGGGGAGGAGTAGCGGGCAACTACAGCGTCATACAGCTCCTTAGCGGTCTTATGCTCGCCGAAGTGCTCGCGCTCATCTAACGGCAGGTGGCTGCGAACGGCTAGGCGAGCATGGGCGTCACAAGTCTGCCACTGTGAGCGAGTAGTACTGTCAGCAGTAGCAGCAGGTGTGGGAGCAGCGCCGGACGTGTGGTCATAGAGGGAAACATCGTCCTTGGCAGTGATCTGGAGGTACAGGTGAAGGTCATCAAGCCAGACATCGAACTTAATCGGGCGGCCCTCGGCGTCAAAGGTGAGAACAGTGGGACTGGCCATAGTGGCAGTAGCAGGAGTAGCAGTAGCAGTAGCAGAAGTAGCAGTAGCAGCAGTAGCAGTAGCAGCAGTAGTAGCAGGAAGGGCGGCGCGGCTCGGTCAGGGCGGTGCGGCTCGGTCAGGGCGGCGCGACTCGGGCGGCGCGACTCGGGCGGCGCGACTCGGGCGACGCGGCTCGGGCAGGGAAGGTGGCGCGACGGCGGGCCTAGGCTCGGTGCGCGGCGGCGCCTAGGGTGCAGCGGCGCGCGGGCTGCGGCTGCGTTCTAGCAGCAGCTAAGCGCGAGCTGCAGCAGCCGACGCGCGATCGCCGCGGCGCGTTGGCTGCGACCTGCGGGCGGGCAGCTGTGGGTCGCGCGTCGACCTAGGGGCGAGCGGGGCCTACGGGCGACGGCGTGCTGGGGCTCGCGAGAAAAAATCGGGCCGCCCTAGGCGGCGGTTTTCCTACGCGGGCTAAACCGGCGGGGCCGCGCTCGGGCTGCTAGCGGGCTGCACACGGGCAGCGTGAGAGGAGAGCGCACGAGGGCGCACTAGGGGAGAGGCGCACGAGGGCGCTAAAAAAAAAGGGGGCGCACGAGGGCACCTCTAGCGGAACGGTGGGCCCATAGGTCTAGAACCTAAGCTCTTAATACCATGTCAGAAACAAGAAGTGATTGAACTATGAAACCCTTGAGTTGTGTACCCCCTAAAGGCTAACCCACTATAGCCTACACAGCAATAACACATATATAGTGTTTGACACCGTCACCCCCATACTCGCCACCCCCACACTCGCCACCCCCAAACCCTAACTCGGGCAGCACGGGGCAGGAGCGTGGGCAGCAGCGCGGTGGACGGCGCGCGGCTCCCCAGGGCGCCGCGATGGGGCAGTGGGGGCCGCGCGCGGCTCCCCAGGGCGCCGCGACGGGGTAGCGGGGGGTCGCGCGCGGCTCCCTAGGGCGTCGCGACGAGGTAGCGGGGGGTCGCGCGCGGCTCCCTAGGGCGTCGCGACAAGGAAGCGGGGGCCACGCGCGGCTCCCCAGGGCACCACGACGGGGCAGCGGGGGGCCGCGGGCGGCGCGCCAGGGCGCCGCGATGGAACAGCGGGGGCAGCGCGCCAGGAAGGAAAGGGGGCGCGCGCCCCGGGGCGCGCGCCAGAGAGTAAAACGCCGCGCGCTGGAGGCGCGCGGCTGGATAAAAAATTACGTCGCACGCCATAGGGCGCACGACAGACCGAGTAGCAGCGGAAGCAGGTAGGTGGGCCCACAGGCCAAGGAAGGACAGGCTCTGATAGCATGTGAAGAAAGAGGAATGAGAAAATAGAATCAGGAAGGAGAGGTTTCACTAGTAAGCAGGGCAGTACATATAGCAAACCCTAACAGGGTTATACTCACTATAGAGTACCCCACTGCAGACTAGACAACTACAACATTCTGACACTGCTCTGGCTGCACGTCGCCCTGCTCTGGCCGCGCGCCGCCCTGCTGCTCTTACTGCTACTGCCTTCACTTTGTACTGCTACTGCTCTATGAATTTCAACATTTTATGGTTTTATACATGACACCGTCACCACCACATTCTGTTTGTAGGTACATTCCCACTACTATGCTCATCTTGAGGATTTTATATTGGGCCGTTTCACACGATATTGTGATGTAGTAACATGCAAGAAAATGTAAAATTTTAAAAGTGTGTAACACTTTTCAAAAATTGTGTATTGTGAAAGTGTAGCGATTGCCAACGCAGCAAAGGCAGCGTCGCATCGCTACTTGCCCTCCTTTGGCTACAAAAGAGGGGGTTGAGGCCATTTGGCCTCACCCACATTCTTCTTTTCAATTTCGAAGTTCGAGTTTCCCACCCTCCCACCTATGTAGTACCGTCACTCCCCGGATATAAGCGCCACTCTGGGATAAGCGCCAGGTGCTTGTAATTGGCATATGGCGCTTATATATGCTCCTCGATTATAAGCGCACCCCCTGAAAAAAAAAACTTGTTTTATAAGCGCATGTAAACCATAAATTTTGAAATTGGTTCAAAACACTGTAACGAATTTCACTTTAGCAGGCGGATGTGTTGCAATTTTGGTTCTCTTCACATTTGAATCCTGCACTCGATGCGAGTCCAGTCAGCAGGAGCTGCCAAGGGCACATTGTGAATCACATCGAGTGTATCCCTAGCGCGCGCGAGAATTTCACTGAAGACCCCATGTAACTTCGACTCGATTGAAAATGCAAGCACGAGATCTACAGTTTGGTGTTAGGAAATATGAATTATATATGAATCATTTTATAAGCGCCTGCGCTTTTAAATTTGACTCACTTATAAGCCCACCCCCTAAAAAACCCTGTTTTATTATACCCCCCCATGGGGGCTTATCCGGGGTATGACGGTAATTGTCTCTAGGATTCTTGCTGTAATCGTAGTTATCATTGGACGAGATTGATGTACTCAGGGCGTATCCATGTTCGGGTCATGATCACTGTTCTGGCTACTGTTTGGGTCATGCGGAATTTGCGCATGACCCGAAGTGGGCTGCCGAGCCGCGCGCGGCCCCAGCTTTGGGTCAATGTGCAGGTGTTGGGCGACTGACGTGCACGACCCACCCCCCCCAACCAATCACCTGGTTGCACGATTCGAGATTCACTGCCATTTTTGGCGATCGTCGGTCTGAGTGTCACAAGTGGGCAATTGTCAAGAAAGGAAGTGATGATGTCATTGATGTGAGTTGGGGTACATATGACAAAAATGTACGGTCACAAGACCAGTCACAAAGATACAAAGCTCAGGGTGGATCACAACGTCACCACACTCTGAGCACAAGCAACAATGGCCACAAGGCCAGTCCAAGAGTTCACAAGTGTGTATAGCAAGAGTACAAGCAAAGCAAACAGTAAAATCAAGCCTATACACGACTAGAACCTGTGTCAACAAGGCCTAATTGCACACAACACCTCTGGTGGTCACAAGGCGGAAGCGCCTTGGTGAAGATGTCTGCAGTGTTGGCCTCGGACTCCACAAACTCGAAGCGAGCCTGTCCATGTCTCTGCAACTCTCACAGAAGGAAGTACCTGACGTGAATGTGCTTCACTCTGCTCTCCAGTCACGGCTCACGACAGAGGAGAATCGACGCCTTGTTGTCAGTGAACAAGGTCGGTGCAGAGCTCGGCCGCTCACCAAGGTCAGCGAGCAAAAACGTCAACCAACGCAGCTCCTGTGCCGCCATGGCACCAGCGTAGATCTCAGCCTCAGCTGTAGAGGTCGAGACCGAAGAGGAGCGCGTGGACCGCCACGAAACAGCTCCAGAACCCAAGCTGAAACAGTACCCCTGAGTAGACTAGTGAGTCTCAGCGTCGTCAACGTAAGAAGAGTCACAGTGACCAGTAAGTACGACAGGCTGCTGCCCTCCAAGAACTAGCCCCACGCCTGATGCCGTCGCTAGGTACTTCGCCACCCTCACAGCTGCCGTCCAGTAAACAGGACGGTGCCTCCCTGGCGCAACAAAGCGAGCAAGGACGCTGAGAGGGAAGGCGAGGTCCGGGCGAGTACAAGTCATCAGGTACATGAGGCAGCCCACTAGCTCTGCGTAGGGACCACTGGACTCAAACGGCTCGTCAAGAAAGGGTCCAGTGAGTCTGTGGTCAGCAGCAAGAGGTGTGCGCTGTACTGTGGAGTGCTGAAGCTCGAACTGCTGAAGGACCTGCTGCACCACGTGTGACAGTGAGAGTGTAATGGTGCGAGCAGCTCTGTCCCTGGTGATCTGCAGGCCAAGGTAGTGATGCAGCTCACCAAGGTCAGTGCACGTGTGTCTCTTCTGCAGTTCGGACTTCACGTCTGCCAAGGCAACCCTGTTAGCAGTGGCGAAAACCAGGTCGTCAACGTAGACTAGAACAAAGAACGGTGTGGAGCCACGACGAACGAACAGCGACGGGTCGGCAGACGACGGCTGAAAACCAAGGTCAGCGAGAGTAGAACGAAGGGTGTCGTGCCACTCACGAGGAGCCTGACGGAGACCGTAGACCTGTCGCCTCAGCCTCCACTGGGTCCCAGGAGGGAAAGTGCCAGTGAAGGCAGAGGGACGACGCAGCCAGACCTCCTCGTGTAGGCTACCCTGAAGAAACGCAGTGGAGAAGTCAAGAGAGTGTAACTCGTAGTCTCTCTGTGCCGCTACGTGCAGTAACACCCGAAGAGTGGTCATCTTCGGGGTGGGCGCGAAGGTCTGAAAGAAGTCAACTCCCTCGCGCTGACTGAAACCTCTAGCTACGTAGCGTGCCTTGAAGACCGGAGGAGATCCCGGTGGCCGCTTCACCCTATAGATCCACATGCCATTGACTACGTTCGCCCCAGGGGGGGGAACCTCGTCGACGTAGGTGCCTGTGGATCTGTAGGAGGCCATCTCTGCGTCCATGGCAGCTCTCCACTGAGAAGCCCAAGGCCCTGACACTGCCTCAGCGTAAGTGCGAGGAGTCGGTATGTCAAGGGCGTCGGGGTCTCCCTCAGGGGCGAGCAGCATGGCATAGAGATGAGGGGAAGCGGCTGCCAGGAACTCTAGCTCAAACTACCTGTCCTCTAGGGCGTCACAGCCAAGGGCAGACACACCCCCGACGGCCAGAGGACTGGAAGGAGGAGCAGCCACAAGACTGGTGGCGAAGTCAAGGCGGCGAGTAGAGGCAAACTCAGTGACTGCGGCAGTAAGAGCGGAGACAGAGGACACAGAGGCACGAGGGTGGGTAACAAGAGAGGCGAGAACGCGAGAGAGAACAGGACGGTACGTGCGCTAGTGGTCAGTGACAGGAGTAGAAAGCGAAGCAGTGAGGGCCGACTCAGGAGGAGACGGAAGCACAGACGGAGACGGACGAGGCGGACTAGAACGAAATAAGGCAGTACGAAGGTCAGTGAAGGGAACAGGGGACAAGGGACGAGCACGAGGGGAGCGACGAGAGGCCCAAGTCTGAGAAGGAGGAGGGGACAACGAAGACTGAGAACGAGGGAAAACAGCTGGAGAGGGGTCAGGAGGAGGAAGCGGAGGA